ACGTTCTTTCAACCAATAACTGTCGGTACAGCTGGAAGAACAGTCCAGATGTAGTCGGTTTAGGAAACCTGGCGCCATTGCGGAATGCGGGGTAGGAACTGTGACGTCCAAGTTTCCTGGCACTCAACAGATGCAGCAGATGCAGCTGTAAGGAGTTCCGAACGGAAAAGCGGCATTAGAACCATCGGATAATCCAACACTATCTATCCTGGAATGAGGATAGTAGCATCAATGGTCTGGCTCCATCCGACGGGCCTGGCGCGATCCGACGGTGGAGTAAGAGCGACCCCGCACGCCAGTCAACGTCTAAGCGACGGCGATCCGGGGATTTGAAGATGCGAATTGAGTCTCGGTAATCTTTTCCATCCTTGCTTTGTCTGTCACCCTTGATTCCCCAGAACATCCACGAGATTTATATTAGATCTGAAATCGTAAAATTGCCCCGATGTCGACGGATGCAGTCCAGATGGAAAAGAAAACTATATTTGGCATCTGGGGTTGCATGGCCATGCGGTTGTCAAAACCGCAATCCAACTTGGAGGGTGGCCTCATTGCAGCAAACGAGGCTTGTACAACCTCAGTCTTGCCCACTGATTGCTCAAATTGCTACAATTGGCGACAGGGAACCACGTTTGTGATCGCGACCGAAGGCCGTCTCTAAGCCTCAAGGACCAGCCAACCCCAGAGACTGGATGAGTCTCATTCCCTCCTTTGTCTTGCATGTGTCCACGGTGAATGAATCGTGTCTCTCCCTGTCGCTGGTTAGTCAGACTACAGCCTTAGTTAACTACTACTCTCTTTTCTTTCCCATATCCTCTCACCAAAGGATAAACCAGCAACGCGTCCGACCTCAGCAATCAATCTGATTCAGTAGCTTGTCGATGTCATCGCCCCGGGATGTTGGCTGAAACGGTGAGTCGACACATGTTCCAGTTGTGCAAAGTGGTGATGCATCCCAAGACTCCACTCTTCTGCACGCATTTTCTTCCGTATCCCTGCATCACATCCTACGCGTTGAACAGTTCTTTGTATCATCCAACTTATCACTGGTAGACCTGCTTGGCTCGTCTGTTCACATCCGCTCTTCTCACACTACACTTCTTTGTCGTTGCTTGCATCCTTTGTTGATGCACCTCGGAAGTGGCGCCAACGGTCCAGCCAGGTTTGCGATCCATCCTTGTGCAATGGGCCATTCATGTTGATGTTTCCGGTCTCGGTCACTAATATGTTTCTCCATTTCTCCCTATTCATATAAATCTTCGCTTTTATCGACGACCTGCTAATCTTTGCCGATCTTCACGCAGTCTCTCGTTTCTACACCCCCCACAGGATCAGCTGCCATCATCGCGACCAGATCCCAATATCTGAAAATGTTTGGAAAAGAGGAATGTCCGGTTATCGGGGAGCCTATCTTCGAAAACAAGGCCTCCAATGATGAATATGCATCTGACCACAGGGAAAACATTCGTCTCCAGCGTTCCTTCGGAACAGCTGCAGAGCGAGCGCGCCGAAACATGAATGCGAAGCTTGCCAATCCCCTGGCCGGATACACCCAGGAGGAACTACGCCAGCAGGGCATCAACTTCGCCATCACTCACCAGATGGGTGACGAAGAGGATGTGCGTGCCTTTGCAATGGGTGCCATGTTGGCGCAGGTCCCTGAAAGATATGCAGAGGTGCCCGGCCTGACGCCCCAGGAGTTGGCAGTTCTAGAGAATGAATACGCTCATCGCTGGTCCCAGCCGTGGACAATGTACCTGGTCATTTGCTTGTGTTCCCTGTCAGCTGCTGTTCAGGGAATGGGTAAGTCCAAGCCTTTTCTTCAACACGCCTGATGTGGCACGACACCGAGGCTAAGGCAATCATGCACCTGCAGATGAAACTGTCGTCAATGGCGCCCAGATTTTCTATAAGCATCAGTTCGGTCTTGATCGTGGCAGCGAATCGAGGTCAAATTGGCTGCTTGGCCTCGTAAACTGCGCACCCTACATGTGTTGTGCTCTGATCGGCTGCTGGTTAACAGTCCCGTTCAATGCGTGGTTTGGCCGACGAGGCACCATCTTCATTACCTGTTGTTTTTCGGCCATCACCTGTCTCTGGCAGGGGTTCGTCAACACCTGGTGGCACATGTTCATTGCGCGCTTTGCTCTGGGCTTTGGCATCGGTCCCAAGTCAGCTACCGTCCCGATCTACGCCGCAGAAACAGCCCCTCCGGTCATTCGTGGTGCCTTGGTCATGCAATGGCAGATGTGGACCGCATTTGGCATCATGTTTGGCTACGTCGCCGATTTGGCCTTCTTTGAGATACAGGACCCTGCAGGGATCGTCGGTCTCAACTGGCGCTTAATGATGGCCTCGGCTTTACTTCCAGCCCTTCTCGTCTGCTGCTTCGTGTTCACGTGCCCCGAATCGCCTCGTTGGTACATGTCGCGCAACCGCTATGACAAGGCCTATGAGTCCATGTGCAGCTTACGTTTCAACAAGGTCCAGGCTGCGCGTGACTTGTACTACATGCACACATTGCTGCAGGCAGAGACAGGCATGAAACTGGGGCAGAACAAACTCATCGAACTTATCGCCGTTCCCCGAAACCGGCGCGCGTTGATTGCGTCGGAGCTCGTCATGTTCATGCAACAGGTATACCAACCACAACTGCAATTCTACACTGAGCTGCTGCTAACTGATTGCATTAGTTCTGCGGTATGATACCAAGTATCCCTAGTATGTAAATACTAACTTTGCTGCAGGTGTCAATGTTATTGCCTACTATTCATCTGAGATTTTCCTCGGGACCACGGGAAATTCTCTGACGCAGTTGTCCGTATCGAACCAGCGAAAAGCACTGGCAGCCTCTTTCGGATGGGGTATGATCAATTGGCTTTTTGCTATACCGGCTGTATACACGATTGATACCTTTGGCCGTCGCAACCTTCTTCTCACCACGTTTCCTCTAATGGCATTGTCCATGTTCTTCACTGGTTTCAGCTTCTGGATACCTGAAGATACACACTCCTCAGCCCGGCTTGGATGCATTGCATTAGGCACATATCTATTCGCGATAGTGTATTCTGTCGGCGAGGGTCCAGTACCATTCACCTATTCCGCCGAAGCCTACCCACTTTACGTTCGTTCCCACGGCATGGCCTTAGCGACGGCGACAACATGGCTGTTCAACTGTCTGCTAGCTATCACCTGGCCCTCCCTGCGTGCGGCATTTACCCCGCAGGGGGCTTTCAGCTGGTACGCGGGGTGGTGCATCGTCGGATGGTGGCTAATCCTGATGTTCATGCCTGAAACCAAGGGCAAGACGCTGGAGGAATTGGACCAGGTGTTTTCGGTTCCTACGCGCTTTCATGCCGCATACGGACTTCGCCAAATTCCTTACTTTGTCCGAAGGTACATTCTCCGCCAGAAAATCCGCCCGGAGATCTTGTATGAGCGAGACGACGAGGTTCCCATGACCGAGGCTGGATACAACACTGCCTGACGATCTCGCTGATCTTTCAGAGAGTTCCTGTCGTGATCGGTGGTAATTGATGTTGTTTAGCTTGTAGCAGATTTGCCGAGCAGTTGCTTTGTCAAATAACCTTTAATAAATAAACTAAGTTAGACAGTCGAAAATTTCTGCAATCAGGCCATGATTCTAATCTGCGGTCACGCTTGTTATCAACCCCGCACTAACACGGCGTAAATCCCCGATTCCTTGCCCCCGCCACCACTACCCTCACCAAAACCCCCATTTGATTTCCCAGCTCATTCCTCGTATCGAAAGATAAACCCCACCACGGAGATCGAGATCCCCCCACCGGTGCGGCGAAGTTTGCCGTGCCTGGACAATCACGCATATTGGGTACGTACCCCTCCCCACCCCCCACCGGGGCGTGCAAGTGGCGAAGTTGCCGTGCCTGGACAAATCACGCATAATGGGTACATATCTCTACTAACGCGGAGCTATCAACAATGACCCCACCTCAGCTGAGGTGGGTTTAAGTAGTAGGATGATTGTTAGTCTCGGAGCAGATGGACTGCTAGTAGAACAGGATCTCGAAGCAGCTTGGGCATATGGTATGTATATAGTAGTAGTAGTAGTAGTAGTAGTAGTAGTAGTAGTAACTAAAGAAACGGACTGAGGTCTTCTAACTTAGCATCATCATCCATGAAGGATTCGATATCTGTATTTATTAGGTGAGTGTTAATAGTAAATAAGTAGCAATCTGATAATAAATAAATAATCGAGTATGGACTTGCTCTACGTCGTTCTCACAGGGTAGTTGGTATGTACTTGGTAGTTACTACTAGTAGTACGTAGTAGGTGGGGTTTCAGCTGCTGCTGCTGCTGGTGTGGAGTACATCATACTAGTATATACAGTCGGCCAGCTTGTCTGATGGAGGAACAATCAATTGTGGTTCGAATCGGAAATTGTTTCCTGGTTCGTATGATTTGATGATTGGTGTAGTACGTGTACATAATATGAGCTATTCTTGATTTGGGGGTTTCATCATTAAAATAGTATATTACTAGTGTTATTAAGGGAATACAGGTATGATACTAAGCTGGGCTGAACTTGTGCGACCTATCTACCTAGTTCTTTTACCAGTCCAATTTAATCTATTCTGGTGTAGACGGTGTACACTAGCTAATAGTTAGGAGCAGGGATTGGTGGTATAATCTCGGGAATACGAGACGGTGCTTCACATAGACTATCTAGGAGCGGCAAGTGTCTGCCAAGGAGAGCACCAACGTAGAGTCAGTTACCGCTAGAGTTAGCTGAGTCGGGCGTCGATACTTAGTAGGCTCTCCGAAAGGCTAGAACCGACAACACCCCGAGCTATTTAGTTGATGTTGAACAAATGATGGTGTGGACCAGTACTATGGTGGCTATTCACCGATCACGGTAGCATCACGAGGTGTATATCTGAAGCCAATCGTGAATTTACTTCTACTCCAGATTAAAGCGGCGTTGGACCCTTTACTAATGCAAACTGTGTAGTTACTGCAACTGCATACTTGGCAACGAGAGTATCACATATCATGCAGGCAGCCTAACGTTCAACCCACATCCAACCCTGACGTGGCAAACACTATACACAAAACAACTTGCACTCAATCAATCAATCAACACCTCTTCTCTTCACCCTCTTCCCCTCCTTAGCAGCTCGAATAACCTCCTTAATCCCCTGTGCCGTATACTCATCATAAGCAGCCCTCAACCCCCAGACCGCCGAACCCACCAACGCAACCAAACCCAAAAACACATGCGTAACAACCCACTGCACGCCAAAGAACCCTCTACAAAACACGGGCCAATTATCCAAGCCATGGCAAATCACCCACAGCTGCAGCGTCAACCACCACTCACTTCTCGGCGGTGTCTTCCCATCACTCGTCTCATCCAGAATGACACTATTCAAGTTACGGAAGAACGCAATCTTGAACGAATCCGCCGGCGCCGTCCACTCATCGACAATTAAATCCCCCTCTTCTTGCTCGGGAGCTCGACCCCATTCATGGACCGTGAATAATGGGATCGGCACGTTGCCATCCGACGGCCGATAGACTTTGTATTCCCCGTTTAGGGTGAACCAGGCGGCGCCTTGCACGACGCGGAAGTATTCGACGCGCTTTTCATGCCAATGTGGGCCTGAGGTCCAGGTGCTGCCTGGAGGTAAAGTGATGCGGACTTTGCAGGAGGCGGAGGTATATTTGGGGAATTCGTAAACGACGTCGCCGGGGCGGGTGAAGGTGAATTTGTTGATGGTGTCGGTTCTTCTTCTTGGCGGGTTTGACATGGTTTTTTTATAGCGCAAGGTGCAGGTTTTTATTGATTGCGGAGATTAAGCTATAGCCAGTGGTGGGTATTTGGGTGAATTGACTTGAAGGATATTCACAGCATTGCGTGCAGTAAGTTAGAGGGACGTGAGTATGTTTATATGGATTAAAGTATGTACACTTACTAGATTCGGTGGTGATGGGTAGACGTATCATAAACGCTGGGCTCGTTCGGGTTGGACGTGCAGGTAAATAGGCTTTGGGTTTAAGTTCCACGGGGCGGAATTGGACTCTCTGACCGTAATTAGTTATTTTTAATACTGTGGTTGTAAGACTGACTGATTGGAGCTGTATGGTGTTTAAACTCGGTATGCAAGGAGGAGGGGTTACATCGTAAGGTGTCCAATCATCGGGTTTCCGTTTGCGCTCGATCTGTCACGCCAACGACAACGTGCATTTCAGCTGAGCACATCACCTCTGCAATGATTAACATGATTACGGAGTAGTATGCAATTGCGTCGCATTGTTGCCCGAGGTTAGATTAATATCAGCCAAAGATGAGGGGGTGTCGGATATTGCGGTCCTTCGGGGTTTGAGCATTACTGTTTACTAGTACTAGTATACTGTTACTACGAAGTACTAGTACTAGTATACTGTGACTACGGAGTACTAGTACTAGGTATTTCTACACATGACTTGCATCCAAGTGTCGGTATTGTTACGGTATCTACTATGTTCTTCTCTCTCATGTCCTTGTCTGATGCCTGGATGGTTGGAATTGAGTTCAGCTCCTCACCTACCTCAATGCAGCATCGTCGTCACAGCTGCATATAACAGACTACTAATGTGCCGCTCCAACGTGCTAGTCTTTACTTATTACGTATGGCTCGTGCAATGCTAGGAGCAAGATGTAAGTACGGCTGAAAGGTGGCCCACATGGTTGCTCTTCATGTTGATCTCATGGCCCTGCCTGCCTGATGACGGTAAAGGGTCGAAAATGAGACAAGTGCGACAGCTATTGCCAGTATAGACTTTGCGCAAGTCTTCTCATGGTTTATATCGCGTAATTAGTGAGCGTGCCTCAGCTATATAAGCTCGCTCCTCGTCTTCTCGTTGAGTATACCTGAAGACATCTAAGAACAATGAATATGACTACAATGGCTGCAGACGGAAAAATTGTCATCGTTGGTGGTGGGCCAGTGGGCTCCCTGGCGGCCCTCTATGCCAGCCATTACCATGACAATGTAGAAGTATACGAACTGCGTGGCGGTATGTTCTTCACAAACAACCCCTATACCCATGCATCCAGCTAACAAGTCCTCCTCTAGATGAGCGTCTCAACCCATCAGGCGCCTCTCCCCTGCTTCAGAAATCCATCAACTTCACTCTCTCCGAACGGGGCATCAGAGCCCTCGAAAAGTCCGGTCGAACTGACCTCCTCCGCGCCATCATGCGCACTGCCATCCCCATGCACGGCAGAATGGTCCACGGAAGAAGCGTCTCAGGCAAACTTCAACAGACATTCCACCAATACGATGTACACGGAAACTCCTTATACTCTCTAGACCGCAAAGCCCTCAACGTCGCCCTCCGTCAAGAGCTCGACGCCACCCCTAACGTGAAGATGTTCTTCCACCACAAGCTCGTCCGAGCAGACATGAAAGCCCGCAAGGTCTGGTTCGAACAACGAGAAGAACCCTCGCCATCCACCTCACCACCCACTACTACTACACCACCCCCACCCAAAGAAGTCCCCTTCGACTTCCTCATCGGCGCGGACGGCGCCCACTCCACCACCAGACAACAAATAATGCGCCACACCCCGCTCGACTACCAACAACAATACGCCGACACAGTATGGTGCGAACTACGCATCCCACCCAGCGAAAAGACCAACTCCTTCCGACTCCCCGCCAACTACCTCCACATCTGGCCCGGAGGGCAATACATGTTCTGCGCATTCCCCTGCCCGGACCAATCCTTCAACTGCATTCTCTTCGCGCCAGCATCCTGTCTCGACTCTCTCAAATCCTCCCCTCCCACCACCCTCTTCGACTTCTTCGACACCCACTTCCCGGGCGTCTGCCCAGACCTGATCTCCCAATCCTCCCTGTCCCAACAATTCTACCAAAGCCCGCACCTCCCCCTCATCGGCATAAAATGCAGCCCGCACCATTACGGCTCCGCAGCCGTGATCATCGGCGACGCCGCGCACGCCATGTTCCCGTTCTACGGCCAGGGACTGAACGCAGGGATGGAGGACGTTCGGATCCTCTTCGATTTACTCGACGAGCACCGCGTGTTCAGTCACGGCAAGTTGTCGAGTAATAAGGATCATGCTCGCGCCGCGGCGTTGACGGAGTACTCGAACCAGCGTGTTCGTGATGCCCATGCTATTCATGACCTCTCCAGGAGGAATTATTTGGAGTTGCGGGGTGGGGTTAATTCGCCGGTTTATAAGGCGAGGAAGTATGTTGAGGAGGCGTTGCAGCGGTATGTGCCCGTTTTGGGGTGGAAGACGCTGTATTCGAGAGTGAGCTTTAGTGATCAGAGGTATTCGGAGGTTGTGGTTAAGAATCAGTGGCAGGGGTGGGTGTTGTTGCTTATGTCTGGGTTGGGAGTTCTCTTGCATATATTGGTGGTTGGGGTTATCGGGGGTGCGGTTTGGGGGTTGAAGGGGTGAGTAGCAGGTAGTCTTCTTTCTGGTTGGAATGTAGTGATATTCCTGGGTGGATTGGGATATCAAAATGGGATCATGATGGGGGAAGTGTAAATATTAGCATGATGTATACGAGTGACGAGGCGAAGTGGTGTTTCTATAGTTGAGAGTGAAAATTATATACCACAAGTTTACCGTTTATGCTTGAAGCTATCTTCTAAGTGATTTAGTCCGGGCACGGTGTTTTACTACTAATTGAAGTATAAGGGGTTTGGGTTGGCTACTTACTGTCTAAGTGAACAAATCATTCGGTATAATCGAAGTATAAGTAGGGCTAGTAGTATGTACATTAGTTAGTACCTTTACGCAATGACAGTACCAATTGCCCTTGATTTATAGTATTTCCAGGTAAAATACGTAGAATTTCGCCGAGCATCCGTGAGGTTCAAGTCATGTCCGACAGGTAGGGTAGTATGCTATGGGATACGGAGACCTTTAGGCTAGGACTCGTCCTACGATGATTGACTACTTGGTGGAATCGATTCACGAGTGAAGAAAATATCATTTTTGCATATAGATATATATATCTTGGAATAGGGCAAGGGAATACAAGTCATCACATCGTCAGACAGCAGTTGGAACGATTGTTGATCCGCATGTTTTGTAAACTCGGAACAGGTCTGTGTGAAATCTTGCTTCATCATTGAAGGATGACTTGTATGTGTGGAACGCTGTAAACAAAAAAAGCAATAAACAAATCGAAAAAAGTATTGGTGGCGATTGCAGATCTGCAGAGCAGATAACGGAATGCATTAATTCCGTGGCTTTGAAGCTGCTGTCTATTAGACAGTCACCATATCAGGTATATATCCTGTTGTCGAAATGAATGTGGAAGTAAGTGAAGATGAAATGAGAAAAAACAAAGGGCGGCTTTATATGAAGAAAATCTCCCCCGGTTCGCTAACAGGCCAATCATCGGCAGCGCAGAGATTAATCCATCTCCAGATGTTTGTTCTGTTTGCGGCATTTGCGCTGTTTGGCTCCATTTCGCATCAAAAAAATGTAGAGGGCAATTTTCTGACGCAGGCTACAGCGTCGACATTTTTTTGCGTTGGCATTCGCTTTTTCTGTTGTCCGGGGGACTTTCTCTTGCCTTGGACATTTTCTGGAAGGCATTCGTTGGCTTTCTGTGACTCTTGCTTTTGTCCTGTTCACAGTATGAATCCCCTCTTTTGACTACCATAATTATCTGTCCGATTAGGAAATAAGTAAATTCTGTGTCAATCCATACTAACGAACCTTGAATCCTTAGACTATACCCTCACCCCTCACTTCACATTCTACCGTCACAATGGTCGACGCTCCCGAGAGCCCGAGGCCCCAGGAACAAAGTGTGTAGGCGATCGCATTGGGCTGCTCATTTGGGGCTGAATCCAATTTTTCACGGCCATATCCTAAATCGCTAATGCGTGCCTAGCTCCCCAAAAGAATGTCTTCCAGAATGGGGTCAGAACCACAGGCCGGGCCTTCCACTCCCCCAACTGGCGTGTGAAGCGCGATGAGAGCCCTAGTGGCCAGAGCGCCGCTGCCGGGTCCCCCGGTCCCAAGACCAGCACCTCGAGAATTGCATTCAGCAGACCCAGCCCGCACGTGCCCCAGGCCATCTCGGAGGGCCGCCGTCTCTACGTGGGCAACATGCCCTACACGGCCAAGTCGGAGGATGTGCAGGCTCTCTTCGATGCGGCTGAGTTCCGAATGTATGGATTCTTTGAACAGAAGACACCCGTGGGAGTCACAAACTGAGTGCTTAATAGCGAGCGTATCGATATCGCCATCGATCCCTTCACCGGCCGCAACCCCTCATACTGTTTCGTCGATTTGGAGACCAAGGAGCTGGCTGAGCGCGCCATGACGGAGTTGGACGGTCGGGACATGCTTGGTCGTCCCGTCAAGATCAAGCCTGGTGTCGTGAAGACCCAGAGTGAGCGGGCTCAGCAGCAGCAACAGCAACAGCCGCGCTCGGATGCCTCCCCTCGTGAGACTCGCTCTTCTCCGTTCAGCATGGACCGATGGCGCCGCGGCGACGAGGCCCAGCCCCCGCGCACTCCGTCGAAGACCACTACCACCACCACCGCCAGTACCCCCTCCAACAGCGATCCCAGCCGTCGCCTCTATGTTGGCGGCCTCCCGAGGCTGACGGACCAGGAGGCGATCACCAGCAACATGACCAACTTCTTCAAGGATTACAAAGTGTATGGATTAGTCCCTGCGTGTATTGATTGTCCGGGATGCTAATTGACTGCATAGTGAGAATGTCAGCAAGCTGTTCGCTCCTCACCCCGCGAAGAGATTCGAGCCCGGTGACCACTACTACCTGTTCGTCGACTTCAGCAGCGTCGAGGAGGCTGAGAATGCCATGAACGCGCTGAACCGCGCGGAGGGTCCCTGGGGTGCTGTCCTCCGGGTCCAGAGAGCCCGTGGAGAGAACAACTCGCAAGAGCGGAGACCGAAGTGGTCGTCCAGCCGGGACGAAGCCACCCCAGTTGCTGAGGAGGTTGCGGCCGCCGCATAGTCTCACTAGCGCGACACATCGGAGCAATCATCCATCATGGGAACCAGACTTCATCCCCAACACTAAAAATAGATGCCTGACGTTGTTACGATATGAATAAGGGGCTTTCCACCCCCCAAAAAAGAAGTTACGAACTACGCTCATCCGCCTCCGCCTCCGTTGATAAGCCGCGAACCGGGAGCCAATGGCACGCCATGGGTCTGCGGAAAGGGGCAATGCTTAGCAAGGCTGCTGGAGAACCCGCGCTGAAGCACCTATCGATGGCCTCGACGTTTGTATCCATAGGGCTACGCATCTACCGTACGGATATGAGACGGAGACGGAGACTAAAAAAAGGGGGACACGGTTAAAAATATCGGCCCGATGGCCGGCAAAAGCATTGCATAGCAGGACGCCTGGAATTTTACCTATCTATAATATCCACAAATGCATATAATCACTCATGAATATCCATCATCATCTCTTGTACGTTTTCCATTTTCGGGTATATCTCGCAGTCAATAGATAGTAGGTAGTAGTAGTAGTTTGTACCGGTCACGCGCACTCGAGAAAACTTCAATTCCCGCAAACTAGACGGAATCGACCGGAGCATCACCCAATATTGGGCTCATTGGGTCCAGACTACGGCGAAAAATCGCTCATGTAAATCGACCCCAGGAGTACGGGGTAATGAGGAGTACGGCTGATAGTCGTCCAAAGTCCCACCAGGGAGACATGCAAGGGACCCAATCGGCGTGGCTCCATTCGATATCAAATCATTCAGGATTATAGTACCAAGTAAGTATCATGCGATCCTCGACTATAAGAAGTGTCACCAGGGGGGAGCCTCTCAGGAAATTTGCACCAAAGATTTCACGTCCAAGATCCAGACTCCCTTCATCCATCCCGACGCGCCCCTCTTCCATCCAGATTCGGTCGCGATTTTACCCGACGAAAACGCAGGAGATCACGTGTGGCCAGAAGGGAGGCAATATTACTACTACTAGTTCAATTCGGAGGGAAATTGTCGGGGGGGCTAGACGATCAGGCAAGACTGGGGAAATTTCCATCTCCCCGGATATTCTGCGACCGAAGTTTTCCAGAGGTGTTCTGAATTGCTTCGATCTACCTTCAGGGAGTGAATGAAACACTTTTAAAAGACTGGATACTTCCTGCCTGGAACTCTCGGCCTTGTTGCGACTGCCCCGCGGCATGACGTCTGTGCTTCTTGTTCTTCACCGCATCGAATTGTTGGGTTTAATGGCATCCAACCAGAGCTGCTGTTGATCGATTGACTTACTTCCACTACTTTGTACTACTTGCTATTGCTACTCCCCCCCCAATACCAAAGACAGGCCGGATCTGTCCAAACTCAACTTTCTAGAACATTTTCTCCCTCCGTCACGTCCCATTACTTGCAGATTCTATCACACTTTCGCTACTCTCACGCCCTGTGCCTTTTTTACCCGCTACTGACCTTATCCGTCCCTATATCCTTTCTTCCGGCTTGCGTCCGGTCGGGCACCCCTGGTGGCCGAGGTCTTGAGTTCGCCTCATCCCATTCAAGTCGATCCCAGTCAGGAGTCGACTCCCTTGCTCATTCCTTCCGCTCATTCATCATGTCGTCCGGTTCCGTTCGGAGGGGCAATGGCCATAATTATTTCGCCAGCGTAAGTGAAACAGTTCTTTTGTCGTTGTCTGTTGATTGAGTGGCGCGGTGAACCCAGTGTTGCCGGTGACGTTATGTACTGCCCTGACATGCGTCCGGTGAGGCTGTATACCCCTCCTTTTGGGAGGGGCAATTGCCCGAGTCTGCGATAAAACTGGACGTATCGCACTGCAACGCTACTTGGTTATTCTGTGTCATGGCTGTTTCGTCGCAAATTCTCACTCTTAATTTGGGCATCTACGTCGTTTTTCGCAATGGCAGCACTCCAGAGACTTACACTTTTTAGTCCGATGACTCGAAGATCTGTGTGGTCATGGTTGGCCTCCCAGCCAGAGGCAAGAGTCTCATTGCTGGAAAAGGTACGCTCTGGTGATTTTGGCTGTTGGACGTCAGGCACTAATTGATGTAGCTATGCGATATCTTGCCTGGGTTGGCATCCCCGCTCGGGTATTCAACGTCGGCAGCTACCGTCGTGCAGGCACGCCACAGCCCAATGCGAACTTCTTCGACCCTCATAATACCGAAGGCGAGAAAATGAGACGCGCCGCCGCTGAGGCTGCGGTGTCTGATATGCTCCAGTGGTTTCAGTCCGGGAAAGGCGTCGTAGCTATCTTGGATGCGACCAATTCCACGAAAGAGCGACGGCGCTGGATCCATGAACGCTGCCAGGAGGCAAACGTCGAAACATTATACGTCGAGTCAATATGTGATGATGAAGACTTGATTATGAACAACATCTTGGAAGTCAAGACAACGTCGCCGGACTACAAGGGGCAGGACCCGGAAGTTGCTGCTCTCGACTTCCGTAACCGTATTCGCAATTACGAGAAGGTCTATGAGACCATTGACGATAACGAGAAGCACTTCACCTACGTCAAACTCATCAATGTCGGATCGACCGTCATCATTAATCAGATTAAGGATTACCTTTCCAGTCGGCTGGTCTACTACATCCAGAACCTTCACATCAAACCTCGCTCGATCTGGTTATCTCGAGTAAGTTTTCCTCCTCTTGGAAATACGATTGATCTAACGTATGTAGCACGGCGAGTCAGAATATAATCTAACGGGAAAAATTGGCGGCGACTCCAACATTTCAGAACGAGGAGAGGCATACGCCCGAGCGCTGCCCGGGTTATTAAAGAAGTCCGGGGTCCCACCCAACACCAAGATCGTTATTTGGACGTCAACTCTGAAACGTACGATCCAAACAGCTCGTCATCTCGCCGCGGAGACGGGCTTCGAGAAGCTAGAGTGGAAGGCGCTGGATGAGCTCGACTCTGGGGTCTGCGATGGACTCACGTACGAGCAGATTGCGGAGAAGTACCCGGAAGACTTTGCTGCGCGCGACGAGGACAAGTACAACTACCGCTACCGGGGTGGCGAGTCTTACCGCGATGTGGTCATCCGGCTAGAGCCAATTATTATGGAGCTGGAGCGTAGCGAGAACGTCATCATTGTCACGCACCAGGCCGTGCTGCGCTGCATCTATGCCTACTTCCTTAACACGCCGCAGGAGCAAAGTCCCTGGATGGAGGTGCCGCTCCATACGCTAATCAAGCTTACACCGCGCGCATACGGCACCGACGAGCAGCGCTTCAAGGCAGACATCCCCGCTGTTTCGACATGGCGTGCGAAGGGCACATCGGCCAAACACCAGGAATATCCCACGGAGATCAAAGCATGATCTGAGAGGCATTCCGACGACTATTATTATATTTGAAGCTTCAAACACATTAGACCTTTCGGTCTTATAGTTATCCTACCTATCGGTTTTGCCTTCTCTCATTCCCGATCGGGATCTGGCTTGCCTTCACATTGTACATGCGCCGTGCGTTCACTCCATTCTTTGGTCTTGATATTTGCAAAAGTCCGGATTCCTTGTCGGTCGCGGTTCTGTCGGGCTGTGTTATGGGTTTTGATCGGTCGGTTGGCAGTTATGGAATTGATTCATTGCATGGGATCGGAGCTTTAAGCCAGCGGATGGCACACCCATGGATGGGATAGTAGCGGTGTGTGCAGGACATCCATCCATCGGTTAGCTTAGCATAATAGACTAGATACTCAAGACAACGTTGACATAATCATTGCTACAAAATACTATAAAACTAAATGACATGTAAGGGATGCTGTCACAAGGTAAACCAGAATATAGATAGAATAGTTGTAGTACAGCCAGCCGGGGAAACCCATCTTGGCACACGGCCCGGGAAGACAGGCAGGGCAGCTGTCCGGTCCAGCTGGACACTCCTCCACTCCGTAGGAGCTCCGCCGCTATCAATCAACCTCCGCCCAACCACCGCACCACATCACTCAACCTACATACTTACAACGAACACCCATACCATGACACCCACTTCCACCTTCTAACTCCGCCCTTCCCCCCGAGAGACTAATTGCACATTTTCCACACCCACGACATGACATGAACCTAATCCGCGATCGCGAACGGCGCATTACCTACCTACCTACCTCCCGAGCATCCTTCCTCCACAACGTACCGAGCTAGCTAGCTAGCTAGCTAGCCAGCACACCGCCCTACACTATACGCCTACCGATACCTTGAATATACACACAACACATACATACATACATTCGCAGAAGAGAGCAAAGACACAGACAGGGGGTGGAATATTCTCAACGACGATGTTATCCGCATTTACGGCCCGTCCGCTCGTGGAACTCAAACCGCGCGACCGATCACGGATAGAATCCGTGCTGGCGTATGGGGATCGCGTCCTGGCGGGGCTGAATAATGGGAGTTTGAGAATATATCGGGTGAATGAGGAGGAAGAAGAAGAAGAGGAAGGAGGAGAAGAGGGGGCACAGCAGCAGGATAGGAATGGGAAGGGGAAGGGGAAGAAAGATACTACCGAGCGACAACAACATGGAAACGGCAACGGCAATGGCAACGGAGAGACGGAGATAATCGCAAACGGGACTACGAACGGTAACCGAGAACAACAACAGCATAGCAAGAAACCCACGGAGCTGCTCCGCGAAGTGGAAAAGTTCTCGCGGTACAAGATCGAGCAGTTGGCGTTGATTAAGGAGGCCAAGGTGCTTGTTTCTCTGTCCGGGGGATATGTGTCGTTGCATGATCTGGGGACGTATTCGTTGCAGGAGCAATTGGCGAAGACGAAGGGGGCGACGACGTTTGCGGTGACGTCGAATATTGAGAATGATTCCGAAACGGGTGTGCCTGCTATTGTGTCGAGGGTGGCGGTGGCGGTGAAGAGGAAGATAATGGTGTGGGTGTGGAGGGATATGGAGATGGAAGCGGGCGGGCCTATGGAGATGACGCTTGTGAGTGGGATTAAGACGTTGACGTGGGTGTCTGGAACGAGGTTGGTGGCTGGGTTGGGGTCTGGGTTTGTCATGGTTGATATTGAGGGGGATGGTGGTGGGACGGTGACGGATTTGACTGGTCCGTCTGGGATAGGGGGTTTAGGGGGTCAGGAGAGTACGGGGAGACTGGCAGGGGTGGGAGTCGCCAGTATGAGTTATATGGGGCTTGGGGGCAGTGCGCCGAAGCCGTTGGCAACGAGGTTGAAGGAGGGCCAAGTGTTGCTGGCGAAGGATATCAATACGCACTTTATTGATGTGCAGGGGAATTCGCTTGGGAGGAGGCAGATACCCTGGAGTCATGCGCCGGCGGATATAGGGTATTCGTATCCGTTTCTGTTGGCGCTGCATGATGCTTCGAAGGGAGTGTTGGAGGTGCGGAATCCGGAGACGTTGTCACTGTTGCAGTCGGTGCCGTTACCGTCTGCCAGTATTATGCATATCCCGCAGCCGACAATTAGTCTGGCGCATGCTGGGAAGGGCTTCTTGGTGGCGAGTGATCGGACAATATGGCGGATGGAGGCGCTGAGTTATGATACGCAGATTGACTCGCTGGTCGAGAAGGGGTATCTGGACGAGGCGATCAGTCTGGCTAGTATGCTGGAGGATGCCCTGCTGAGGGATAAGCAGGGCCGGCTGCGCCAGATCAAGCTGGAGAAGGCTGAGGGGCTGTTCAAGATGCGAAAGTATACTGATTCGATGGATCTATTCACGGAGATATCTGCGCCCCCGGAGACGGTCATACGACTGTATCCGAAGATCATCGCGGGGGAGCTGTCGTCGATTGTCGAGGAGCCGGAGGAGTCCGAAGATGGGACGACAGATAGCCAGTCGAAGACGCAAGAGAACAATAGCCCAGCGGACGCGCCGGCTGTGGATGAGCCGCCAGCGCCGAAGACACTCTCGCATGCTCCGTCTGTGATGTCTCTTCTGCGGACGCGGACAGATGATGCCAGCGATGCGGGCAGCATCCGGGGCAAGGTCGTCGAGGAGGCCAAGAGCGACAAGGCGCTGGAAGGGGCCGATCTCAAGCTGGCAGTTCGTGACCTGCAGAGGTATCTGGCGGATGTGCGGAGGCGGTTCCAGCGCTTCTTGAACCCGGATGGGACGCTGAAGGTGGTCGATGCGACGACGGACGGCGCGAACGATGCGTTGACGGACTCGGTCATGAAGCTGCTGAGCATTGATCCGGAGGGTGAGTATGATTTTGGGGAAAAGCTGCGGGAAAAGGCAAGACTCGTGGATACGACTCTCTTCCGGGCGTACATGTACGCTATTCCAGCTCTGGCGGGGTCATTGTTCCGCATTGCCAACTTCTGTGACCCGGATGTAGTGATGGAGAAGCTGGAGGAGACAGGACGTCACAACGATTTGATTGACTTCCTATACGGGAAGAAGCTGCATCGGCAGGCGTTGGAGCTACTCCAGAAGTTTGGACAAGCCGACGAGGAAGAAGAGACGGCGCCGCAGCTGCACGGGCCGAAGCGAACAGTCAATTATCTGCAGAATCTGTCTCCAGACCATATTGACTTGATCCTCGAGTTCGCTGAGTGGCCGGTACGGCAAGACCCTGAGCTGGGCATGGAGATTTTCCTGGCAGATACGGAGAACGCGGAGACGCTGCCAAGAGACCGCGTGCTAGATTTCCTGCAGGGCATTGATGTCAACCTGGCTGTCCGATACCTGGAGCATATCATTGGGGAGTTGAATGATATGACACCAGATTTGCATCAGAGACTGCTCGTCCTTTACTTGGAACGACTGAAGAAGCATCAAGCGAAAGAGTGGGAGTTTTCGAGTCTGGATGACTATGTTAATTGGCAGAGCAAGTTCTTGAATATGCTCAAGTCCAGCTCCCAGTATTCTCCGGCTAAAATCCTTGATCGATTGGACCGGGATGGTAAGTACCCTCCTTGCGCTTACATTGCGTTGCTGACTTGCGACAGATCCCGAGTTCTTCGAGGCGCGAGCGATTGTCTTCAGCAAAATGGGACAGCACCGGCAGGCACTGGAAATCTACGTGTTCAAGTTGGAAGACTACGTCAAGGCTGAAGAGTGAGTTGCATCTATCGATTTACATGAGTTCTGCTAACCGTTCAGATACTGTAATCATCTCCATAAAATGGAGGATACGACTGCTGCGGATGGAGCGGCTTCGCGCTGTGTAGCTCTACTGCCGTATGAGGATGACAAGCCACCGATCTATTTGACTCTATTGTCTCTATATCTATCGCCGCCGCATGGCTACAAGCCACGGTACGGGCCCGCGCTTGAGGTGCTGGCCAAACATGGATCCCGGCTGCCACCTAATTCGGCTCTGGATCTGATCCCGGAATCGCTCCCGGTCAAAGAGCTCGAGTTTTATTTCAAGGGCCGTATGCGGGCCGCCAACACAATCCTTAACGAGAGCCGGATCGTGGCCAACCTGCAAAAGGCAGAAGACATCAAGACGCAGGCGCAATTGTTGGTAGGAGAGGGGACGGACGGGCGATCGACGCGCTCGCGACATGTCACCATTACCGAAGAACGGGTCTGCGGCATCTGCCACAAGCGGATTGGAGGCAGTGTGATTAATGTGTTTCCGGAGTGAGTATCACCATTCTCCTGGACTTGAGCCTGGCTAACTGAAGGCAGTAACACGGTTGTCCATCTTGGCTGTGCCAATCGCATGCGTTGAGCCTGATTTGTGTGTATATAGAGGTTCATGGTTTTTTGTGGTATCGGTTATCGAGGTTTATCTGTTGCTTTTCCTGGTTTCTTTTCTTTTTCTCGCTTTGTTTGATCTTCCTTCCGCATTTCCTGGCCATGTCTTGTTCAACGAAAGCATACCGGAGTGGCGGACATTTCCTACACGATGATACCCCGGGATAGCGGTATTCAAGGATCCATGCATATGATTTATTTAGTCGTGATTCGTTCTTCGTCAGCCGTAGCATCCACACTCTCACTCTCGGCCGTCTCACTTCCAGATGTGGCCGAATCAAGCATCCTCTTCCACAACCTCCTCTCCGTAGTTTTCCTCCTCCTTGGCTTCCTTATCAGAGACCTTTTGACCCTGTGCCTCGGCAGCCTTCTTGTCCTCTTCCATGCGCTCGGTCAGAAATACGTTGATATCGTTTTGCAGAGTGGGTACGAGCTTGCGTAGTTCAGCGAGATAGGTCACCTTCTGAGGGACGGCGTCGGCGGAGGGGAGCGGGGAAGAAATGCTGTGCTCGAAAGTGCGAGACTGGTCGGGAGCGACATAAGCAGCGTGGAGCTTGTTGGCAGACATTGTGAGAGGTTGCGTGGCGGATGAAAATACAATAATAATCAAGGAATATGTCGCGGGGGAAGGAATCAAAGTGGGATGGATAAAGTTGGAGAAAGAAAGGACGTGCGGGCGGGAGGGGAAGACTTGCTTTGCGCTGGATTTGTTTCACGAGCGAAGATCGTCCGGCCGGGCGCCTTTTCGGTCGCTGATCCTCCCCAAGGCGGCTGAAAGCTAAAACAAGCAATCAATCAATCCAGGGGATCTAGACTGACTGGTTTTCGCCGCCAGCACGACTTTTCTCCTCCTCCCCTCATATCATGGGTTCGGGGTTTGTGTCTCGATAGCATTGTCTCCGAAGCCATCTATTCGCTCACATCATGTTGCGCTCGCCGGTGTCGCCCGAGCGATCCTCGTCTCGCTCACCTCTTCCTCCTCATCCTCCTCCTCATCCACTTTCACAGCCCCCTCGCCGCTCCTTCGACGACTTCTCCTACGCCCGCCCTGCTTCCTCAGGCAGTGATGCCTCGTCGATTACTTCCAATGTGACCACCATCTCGCCGCGTCACTCTGCCCTCAATCCCGGTGCCGTGTCGGTGACCTCCTCTCCTCGTCCTCCACGTACCTCTTCCATCACCGCCAACACCACCGCTCCTCTTCCTCCTCCCATCTCGACCGCCACCACAAATACTACCTCCTCTTCTTCTACGATTCGATCTCCCGTCTCCTTCATGCCTCATGGTGAGATCCTGAGCAGGAAACCGTCGGGTCGTGGTGGCCCGCCGGAACTGCAGAGACGCTCTCGTCACCACTCGCAGGGCTTCTTCGAGCCATCCCTCCCCACCGCATCCTCCTCCGAGGCTACCATCTCCGCTTCCAGAATCGCAGCCCAGGCGGCCATGCTCCAGCAACAGCAGACCGCTCCCCAGAATCCTCCTAAGCGTCCTCCGCCAGTGCGGGGTGTGTCAGAAGACGGTTCTCGGTCCCGACGAGGGGGGAGCGCTTCCCCTCCGCCCCCGCCGCCTCCAGCGCCGTTGTTTGCGCCCCCAACAAGCGCGGGAAGTGCGTCCGGGGCATCATATCAGAGTGGGTCTGCAAATGGGAATACACATGCCGCAACGACGGCGGCAAATGTGGTGTTTCCCCGGAATCCCGCGCTGCAGCCGCCCGGCCTGGAGCCGCCCGCAGAGCGGGAGCACAAGCACAAGGGCGAGAAATCGAAGATGAAGCTATTTTCGAAACCGAAACATATTGGGATAAGCCGGGACAAGGACGGGATCAGCAAGGACCGGGGCCTGCCGTCGCCGAGTAAGATGGGTTTTCCGAGCGGGGGATTATCGCGGATCGTGAGTGCGTCGACGACGAGCTTGGCTGATACGTTTCCCTCGAACAATTCGTCACTCTACAACTTGTCGAATGCGTCGGTAAGTACTGTGGTTCCGGCCGATAAGCCGACGGGGAGTGAGAAGGAGAAAGAGAAGGATAAGGATAAGCACAAGCATCACTTCTTGTCGCGGCAGAAGTTGAAGCTGAAAGACCGAGATGATCATTACAACTTGCCGCTATCGTCGGCGTCGAGTAACTCGAAACCTTCGGATCCGAACGCCCCTCAGTCGCTGTATTCTTTTACGCCGGCTTCGCCAGGTGCGGTCACGACTACGTTTGGGAAAAGCGTGAGCGGCTTAGACCTGCTCCACGGGTTACGAGATAAGAAGAAGGAAGAGAAGGCATTAGAGTCGGAACAGCTGGACTGGGTGGCCAACTCGTCGGGACCTGCGCCGGGGACATTTGCGGGGCCGTCGTCGCTGGGCAGCTCCACGGGAGTTCTCGCAGAGGCAGCTCTTCGGGAGACACTCCAGGGTTTTGGACTGAATAACATGACGCCGGAAGATGCGTGGGACTTTCTCAAGGCCAAGCTCATGGTCATCTTTGACGGAGAGGATGTTCGCATCGCCATCGAGGATCTCAACAAGCTGGTCCTCATTCATATCCAGCGTTGCGTCCAGAAACGCATGCCCACCGCAGTGGTAGACGACTTGCGCGAGCTATTAGAGACAGGGTGTGCATCTTTGAACCATACGCTGAACGGCATCCCCGATGAGAAGCTGGTCCCTCATCTGGTGCAAGTATGGATGCTCGTGTTCGGCACGATCCTGCCCTTCATCCAAGCTGTCTTTCTGCCCCTAGACCTTGAGTTCAAGGGATGCGGGTCCGTGATGAACCGCCGAGAAGCCAGTGAGTTCTGGTCATCCACGTTCAACGGAGAATACGCCGGCTGCGATCTGGACGTGCGCAACCTCGTTTTGATTGCCTTCCGCGACATGGTCATCCTCTACCGGTATGACGTGCTAAAGGCAACCTTCTCCCGCCTGAGCTTAGACAGCATCAAACTCGGCACGGCAGCGCTGAGCGTCACGACCAAGAGCAGCAGCAACAGCGCACGGCCGACGACATCGGCCTCGCTGGACGGCGGGTTCGGCAGCTACAGCTCGCAGTCGTCGACTCTCCTCAACACCGCGAACAGCTACTCATCTGACTCACTAGACTGCAACCGCAGCCGGGCGGCGTCCAACACGTCCAACCCGGACCAGCTGATCTTCCAGTCATTCTCGTCACCGACGCAACGGCCCAGTATCATCCACCGGTCCTCGCACACAGACACGTCACACATCATCACGGAGACCGTGGGACGGATGCTGCAGTGCGTCAGCGTGTTGGCCAGCGTGCAAACCGGCGATCGAGCACAAGAGCAGATCGAGATCTTGAGCAAGGAGCTAAAGCATAATTGGCTAGGCCGTGGGCGCACGGGACGAGACCGGCGTGGGTTCGTAGGGACGAAGATTCGGCCAGCGATAGTAGCCCGCACAGACAGTGATGATTATATGAGGGATGGGATGGAGGATTACGGGCGTCGGGAATTAAGTGTATTGTGATTGTTTCTTTTCCCCGTTTTGATTATGATACCTCGAGTACAGAGAATTGGAGTAAACTAGCATTGATTGACTATCCTTATCTTGAATGAAAGCCAGCTGTCTGTCTGTCTGTCTGTCTGTTTGTCTGTCTGTTTGTCTGTCTGTTTGTCTGTCTGTCTGTCACTTTATGACTTCCCAATACCCACCAGCAAGCTCAACAGCGGAAGACCACAAAGCCATAGCCGTAGCCATAACCATAACCATAACTCAGCTAATCCTCCTCACCCTCATCACCACCACCACCATTAGCAGCAGCAGCAGAAGCAGCAGCAGAAGCACTCTTCTTCCCCTTCTCCATCTCCCTCACATACTTCCTCAAACACTCCCCAGGATAAGTTCCCCCACCAGCCTTTCCCACCTCCTCAGCAATCAATCTCCACTTCTCCGTTTCCAATCGTCCCTCAACATCCTTCTTAGCTTGGAGGATTTTTGCTTCCTGTCACATAGTATACACGCATTAGTTAAACCTTCTTCCTTTTTCCCCCTCCCCCCATAAAAATACATAGATATATATATATATAGAATGGAAATGGAAAAGGGAGGGAATACATCACCCGGATCCACCACCACAAAATTCTTCTTCATGGTGTTATACCTCGCTCGGAGGGTCGACCCGCCCACACTGATCCCCGTCAGATCCGTCCATGCCTGGTTGATGGCGGACCAAGGGGTGGAGGCCTCGTCGCGAAGACGGAGGATGAGAAGGTCGGAGGCGCTGGCGGAGGCGAGGGTCGTTGGGATGGGTGGAAGGGGGGTGCGAGCTTTAGTACGTTTGTTGTTGTTGGGGCTGGTGGTGCTGGTTGGGGTGGGGGGGGGAGGATGATGGGGTGAGACGTTTTTTGCTGTTGGGAGTTGGGGTTTTGGGGGTCTAATTATGGGTTATCTTGGTTAGTTGTGTGTGTTTTATATGGTATGGTTGTTAATGTGGGTGTGGTGGTGGGGAGTGTATAGAGTATAGTATGGTACTTACCATTGCCACGCCGTTCTTCTTGGTAGGGGTCTTTGGAGCAGTGATGTTCTGACCGGGGGTATTGTTGATAGGGGTGAAGGTGGTTGACATCTTGTTAATGTCTTAGTATTTGTGGTAGTGGTGATGTGGTGATGGGATGGGATGGGATGTAGAAGGATGATGGAGGGAGGTGGGAATGGGAATGGGAATGGGAAGATGAGAGTGGCAGAAGGGGATGAACAAAATAGAAGTGAGTTCTGTCAGTGTTGATGTGACAGTGAAGTGAATTCGATTTCTCTGTTCTGTTATGGTTAAGTGAATTGTAGTTGTGGATCGGCTGGGTTGGGTTGCTATGGGTGGTTGGTTACTATGCTTGTGTTTGGTAGGAACTACCCAGGGTTTGGGAAGCGTTGTAGTCTATGTATCTTGATATTATGTGTAGTTGTTTGGGTGTGAATTGTTGGTAAGGATGATGTTTATAGAATGTAGCAGAGATGAGTGCGGTGTATACTGCTTGTATATCATAGGAATTTAGATGGGAGTGAAATGTATGCAACTATGGAGCACTACGCTTGAAGGCGATGATGCTAGCTAGGTATAGATGACAATTGAAGTTGATTTGTGTAGATGTAACAACGTCAAGTTTACTGGCTTGTGTAGGCATGCTCCGGGATATCTGGAGATATCGGGATCATCCACATATTTGCATACTATAAATAGTGGTTTCAGTCTCATATTGACCCAAGGTATACCTGTAGAGTATGCTCACTGTCTATTGTTCGTTACAGATCTGTAATGTCTACCCTATTATTATTAGTGGTAGGAACATATAGTTGTATTGGAATGCGAGTAAGCATCTTAATTCGAGATCTAAAACTCTCGGTTGGAAGACATGGATGTTGCTTAGGGTTGACGGTACAAAAGTACGGAGCCGGGGTACTTTGCCGCGGGTGTCCATCCGGGGACATTGCGATGGAGTCGGGATTCTTCACCTGGTTCAGCTGCAGGCAGACAGGGATCTGGAACTGGAACGGAGAATATCAGTTGGTTAGAACTCGGACGAATACGAGCCAGGGCTTGCCTGTCAGTGTTCATGAAGGGTCAGTATGACTCCTCATTCTAACTTTAGTAGAGTAGTATGTCACTGCCTGCTTCTGCCTGTTATTCCGTGACTACTTACTACTTACTAGTGGTATTCCATCTGGATGATCATCCCATCTGAGTATTGGGTCAACTTTCCATCCCCAAGCGTGACTGGAAACTGCACTGACAGCGCATGTGAGACACACGCACGTTGGCAAAATGTCGGTGACCGGGGATGGCTCTCCCTCTTAAGACTTCTGCGCGAGATGATCCAGTTGATGATCCTGCGGCTGAATGGCTGTTTGGGTTTGGGGGTTCGGAAGTCTGTGCCACTTTTTTTTTTTTCCCAAGCGTCTGGCAGGGTGACAATCCAATCCTGATGCATTTGCTGACCCGGTGAGATTTGCATATTATGATTGGCACTGCCAGTTTCTGAAGCTATCCCAGCCTCTTCCCTAATCCGGCGAGTTTCTTTTTTCTTTAGGTGTAAGTAGTGTTTACTGTATTTATTTATGCAGCAGGCAGAGAGCAACTGTGAACAGGCATCATTGCTCAGTCACAATCAATCGCCTCACTCTTGGGGTTATTTATTTAATTACTTTTGTTCGTCGATCTGCCTGTCATTTTTGTTTGCTCTTGTTCACTTCCTTTCTTTTCTCTTCCCTTCTTCTTCTTCTTCTTCTTCTTCTTCTACTACTACTACTACTACTACTTCTGCTTCCTCTCTCATCTTGGGTGGTCAGGCAGCACACACCGCCATCTGCTGGGCCAACACGCAAGGCGCTCTTGCAAGCGAGGATACTTTTTATTTCTTAGGCATCCGAGTATGTGAGTCTGGCTCTCTCCTCATTCTCTCATCTCCTTCCTCTCTTTCTCCCCATTTCCCCATCCACGACATTCTCCCCCAACCCTCTTCCCATCCACCAACTACCCTCATCCACTCTCTCCCATTTACCCCATATCACTACTCTTCATCATCCATCCATCCTCACCTGTCTATCTTTCTTCCTTTCCCTTCTTCTGCATTTTCTTCATCACTTCATATATATTCTCCATATATTCCCACCTTCTCTACTCACTGGCCATGACCATTCCCACTGATTCTCAAGCCTCCTCCCAGCAAACTGAGCTCGAGACTCAGCGCGACCCAAGCTCCAACAACAGTGGGCCTGTGCCCGTCCCGGTCCCTGGTTCAGCTCCACTCCCTGCCACCACCAGCGACTCCAGCAGTACTACGACCGCTGTGACTGGTACCACCATGGCCGACGCTAGTGGCCCCGTCTCCTCCTCCCCCGAATCCAAGCTTGACGCCGACCCGCCCGTCGATGCTCCCCAAGTGAAGCCCGACCCCAAAGCTCCCGTCTCTGTCTCCGATCCCGTGCCCAAAAAGTCCGTGTGTTCCAAGCATGCGGCAAAAGACCAGGATCCCAACCGCTCGAAAAAGAAAAAGTCTCACCGCAAAGCCGCTTCCATTGTTACCCCCAGCGATGACAGCTCGTCGGAACTAAATTCCTCGTCCGAGGAATCCAGCGCGGAGTCTACCTCCGACGACGAAGACGCTCAGTCGGCCTCGGAGTCCGACGCGGAGTCGGATCGCAAACAGCGTCGCCGCCGGGCCAAGAACAAGATCAAGAAATCGCTCAAAAGTGGGAGCCGTAAGAAGAAGAGCCGGTCGCACCAGACTGAATCGGAATCCGATTCCGATCTCGAGGATAGTAGCGACTCCGATTCGTCTCTTGATGAGAAGACCCTGAAGAAGCTGGTCGCCAAGCTAAAGGCGAAGAAGACCTCCAAGAAGTCGCGCTCCAAGGATGACTCTTCCGAAGAGCAACAAGACGACGATGACGATGCGGACGAGGATGCCGACGCCGACGAGCTCGCCCTTCTGTTAGCCAAGCAAAAGTTGGCTTCCTTGCGAGTCAAGTTGGCCGATGGGCGTCGCAAAGGCCGAGGCAGGCGTGGCTCGGGTGACGGTAACACTGACGGCCAGAAAGGGAGCTCGCAAAAGTCCAAGGGACGCAAGAAGGCTGCCTCGAAGATTGCCTTCAAGCGTGTAGATCAGCGTGCGTCTTCCTCCACTCTTTCCTCTTGATCTAGCTAACACATAATTCTACAGTGTGGGACAATACGATTCACAACTTCAAGCTCACGGAGACGGTCGACGACCCCGATGCAAACGAGTGGGACCAATACCTCTTCACCGTGCGCCGCAAGTTCGACTGGGACAACAAGTATCTGGAAACCGTAGTAGACCTCAAGAGCAAGTACCTGCGCGATGCGCTGTCCAAGGTCATGGATGGAGTCAAGGGCGTCAGCTTGGTGCAAGAGACGGCGGTGGTCGATCCCAACATGCTCTTCCTCTACCTTGAGGAGACGCGGCAGTACATGAAAGATCTCCGGCAGCTGGCCAAGACTGAAAAGAAGAAGAAAGCCCGCAAGCTCGCCGAAATCAAAGCATCACATCTCAAGGTGCTCGTCAAGTATCTGGACACCGACTATGCCGAGACCAAAAAGACCCTCTACCCTCTGTTGGACTCCAGCATGATCACCTTTGATCTCCTATGGGCCATCTTCAAGCCCAACACCGTCGCCTACTCCTCTACCTACGGAAACCAGGATGAGCCTCGTGCCTTCAAGATCGAGTACGCGACCAAGGAGTCCTCGTTTATGAAAGGTCAATGGTACAGCATCGAGGGTCGCTACCTCGAGTACGATGGCAAAGCATTCGGTATGGGAACCATGGCCGCCGAGGTGGAGTCCTTCAAGGGTGCCCGCAAAATCACCAGTCTTAGCTGTTATCCACTCAAGTATCATCGCGAAGCCGAAAGCGTTAAAGCCAAGCTGATCGAGCGTGGTAAGAAATTCGTGGCGCTGCGAGGCATGAACTACCGGTATCACAAGGGTATGGCGTTCTACAAAAAGAAGCGGTCCGTCATCAAGGTCAACATCAACGGCCGTGTCATGGTTGATCCCGCCATCCACCGGCGCATCAATCCCAACTACCCCATCAGCACCGTCCGTCCCAAGGACCCAGACTACCTTGGCGGCTCCGACGATGATGGCAGCAACAATGGATGCTGCTGTATTCTGTCCGACTCAGAATCAGAACAAACCTGCGGGCAACCGCGCGACTCAGACACCCCTCAACTCACATACAAAGTGGTACGGGACAAGGAGGGCAAGCCGCACGTCGTCGAGGTTGAGCTGGATGAGAACGGCAATGAAATTGTCAAGGAGAACATGGACGAAGTCGCGGACCCCTCCGACCGCGAATTCACCGAAGAGGAGCTCCTCATCGCAAGCCCCGTGGTACTCGGCTTCGCCTTCAGTGAGAAGCTGTGGCTTGAGTTCAGCATTTCGGGCATCAGTGAGATTGAATGGAATGAAGATGCCTTTGATTCACTGGTCCTCCCCGACAACCAGAAGTCCATCGTCAAGGCATTGGTCGAATCGCACACCTTCCGCGCGGCCCAGAACATCGACGATGTCATCCAAGGCAAGGGCAAGGGTCTCGTGGCCGTGCTCCACGGACCTCCCGGTACTGGTAAAACCCTTACTGCCGAAGGCATCGCAGAGCTCCTCAAACGCCCGCTCTACATGGTGAGCGCGGGTGAGCTGGGCACCGATCCGCGCACCCTTGAAGCAGAGCTGAACAAGATCCTTGACATCGCACATTCCTGGGGCGCCGTTCTGCTGCTCGATGAAGCCGACATTTTCCTGGAGAAGCGTACCATCCAGGACATTCACCGCAATGCCCTAGTCAGCA